AACCCCTGCCCCACCCCCTTCCACACACACACACATCAAATAGATAATAAAATAGAATTTTATTTAATTGAAGGTTAGTTAAGCTAAGCCTAGTTTAACCTAGTCTTAAGCCTAGGCAGGTTAGCTGCCCCTTTGTTGGCCATGACCCATTACAGTAGTATTCTGTTACTGTCACAGAGTATGTTTGTCCCCCGGAACCTCACTCTCCGTCACTCTTTTATATCGTACCAAACAGTTTATCAACGAAAGTTATTAATTAGTTGTATAAAAAAAGAGGTCAGTTGTGGGAATCGCGAACCCGCAATCTATCGCTGTCTCGGTGAGCGTCATACTCTTTAGACTACAGAGGCCCATAAGATATATTATTAGTTTCTAAGACCTGTGTTACAGTATTATTATTTATTTTACACAGAATCAACAACGGCCAAAGTGACGACAGTACCACTGACGTCAGGAGCTAAAGGACAGACCACTGGTATGTAGATATGCCTACTTTATTCTATATAATTATCATTAAAATCCTTCCCAGAGACTTAGATATCTAAAAAAAATTTTGATATATAATAGGGCCTCGTTCGTTCGTCCTTCGTATTCGAAGAAGACCTTGATCACCAAGTATATTGACATGTTCCTAGACTTATAAGTTATCCTTGTGTATACGTTGGTGGCTGATTAGTCCAATCCTGGATTTAAAGTTTCTTCTACACGTCTGGCATTAATGCTCAGTTGATGTGCATTTTATTTTCTCACGTTCCTTTCTTGCAGCACGTTTAGCTTTTGCGTGCAAGATTCTGTTTTTTTCAAACCGTTCTATTCCAGTGTGAGTAGTGTGTCTCCATAATAGGGCCTATATATATCACACAACCCCCTTCCACACACACACACACACACACACACACACACACACACACATCAAATAGATAATAAAATAGAATTTTATTTAATTGAAGGTAAAGCTAAGCCTAGTTTGTCTTATTTGCCAACTTTCTTAAGCCGAGGCAGGTTAGCTGGCCGGTTGTAGGCCATGGCCCATTACAGTATAGTATTGTTACTGTTCTTTAGAGTGTGGGTTTGTGTCACAAGTTCTCCCAGAATTCCAAAACAGAGACAGGACCTCGGCAATAAGTTACGACACGGAATTAAACGCGGCTTAAACTCTATTAACCACAACACATCACCTTAACAATAAGTCCATCTAACTTTCGCAATTTATAACCTTAACACTTTGTATCACATAATTAACTAGTTGTGCACATTACCATTAATATACTGAACAACGATCTCCAATTATATAATAATATCCATAATAATAACAATATAATGTTACCATTAAATTGTCATTCATAAACAACTCAGCTCTTCAACGTGGCTAACACGAACTCAGCTCTTCAACGTGGCTAACACGAACAAAGCACTTATGACGTGGCTAACAATAGATCATTTTTACAAATTGCGATAATCGATTCTGTCTATCACCATCGGTACTACAAACAATTATTCAGTATTGGATATAAAGACAATTTTGCTTGCATGACTATCAATTAGGCCTATCTTTATCACCTTAACAATTTACAATCAACACTTCAAGGCAATGCAATAATAACTGGTTATAACAATAATTACAATAATAATAGTAATAAACAAATAAAAGAATAATAAGAATAATACTCAGCGCTTATAACATGGCTAACACGAACACAGCTCTTATAACGTGGCTAACACCAAAGCAGCTGTTCAACGTGGCTAACACCAACGCAGCTGTTCAACGTGGCTAACACGAACACAGGTCTTATAACGTGGCTAACACGAACACAGCTCTTCTAACGTGGCTAACACTGATTAGGCTTACGTTTACATTCATTTGCAACAGTGTCAAGACTTACTACAACAACATCATACGAAGAAAGACAGACAACAGGTAGGTAGATATGATTACTAACAATTTCATTGA